ACACAGAATTTTACAAACACACAAGCTTACAAGACCACACAGTCTTACAAGACACATACAGTTTTACAAGAACACAAAGTCTTCAAGACACACTACATTCCTACAAGACACACTACAGTCTTAAAAGACCATACGTCACAAACAAACTACACCCTTAAACACGCACTACAGTCTTAATAACACCTGCAGTCTTAAAAGAAAACCTTCATCTTAAAAGACACACTACAGCTTACAAGACACACTACCGTCTTACAAAAACCCCCTACATCTTAAAACACACACGTCTTACAGACACACTACATCTTACAAGACACACTACAGTCTTGAAAGACAAAATACAGTTTTGCAATACACACTCAGTCTTAAAGACACACTAGGTTTTTTAAAAGCCCCCTACAGTATTAAGGACACACTACAGTCTTACAAACCACTCAGTCTTAAAAGACACACAATCTTACAAACGACTACAGTTTTTACAAGACATATACAAAATTACAAGCCCAGTAAGCTTACAAGACACACTAAGTCTTACAAGACACATACAGTTTCAAACCACTCAGCTTCAAGACACACAAAGTTTTACAAGACCACTACAGTCTTACAAAAAAACACGTCTTTATAGACACACTACAGTCTTACAAACACACTACAGTCTACAAACCACACAGTTTTAAATAACACACGAGAGTCTTCAAGACCCACTACAGTCTTACAGGACACCTACGTCTTACAAGACAAATACAGTCTTACAAGACACACAAGTTTTTACAAACCAATACAGTCTTCAAGACACACTACGTTTACAAGACACATACAGTCTTACAAGACACACTACAGCTTACAAGACACACTACGCTTACAAGACACCTGCACCCTTACAAGACGCACTAAGTCTTAAAAACACTTACAGTCTTACAAACACACTCGTCTTAAAGACCACCCAGTTTTACAAGAAAAACACTACCGTCTTACAAGCCCATGAAGTCTTCAAGACACACTACAGTCTTAAAGCCCCAAACAGTTTTACAAGACACACACCGTCTTACAAGACCACTACAGTCTTACAAACCCCTACAGTCTTACAGACACACTAAGTCTTAAAAGACACACTACATCTTGCAAGACACAATACATTTTGCAATCACACTCAGTCTTAATAGACACCAAAGGTTTTACAAGACCACTACATATTAGGACACACTAAGTCTTAAAGACACCTACAGTCTTACAAGACACCACAGTCTTACAAGACCCACTACGTCTTACAAGACTACACAAAATTACAAGACACAGTAGGCTTAAAAGACACACTACGTCTTCAAAAACACACTACGTCTTACAAGACACACTACGCTTACAAGACACACTACAGTGTTACAAAAAATACGTCTTACAAGAAAAACTACTGTCTTTATAACACACTACAGTCTTACAAACACATACATCTTACAAACCACTACGTCTTAATAGACACACAGAGTCTTCCCAAGACACACTACGTCTTCAGGACACAACAGTTTACAAGACACACTACGTTTTACAAGACACACTACAGTCTTACAAGACCAATACGTTTTACAGCACACTACAGTTTTTACAAGACACACTACAGTTTACAAGACACACTAAGTTTTTGAAACACTACAGTCTTACAAACACACTGCACCCTTACAAGACGCACTACGTCTTAATAGACCTTTACGTCTTACAAACACACTACAGCTTACAAGACACACCACTTTTTTACAAGACACACTCCCGTCTTACAAGACCCACTGAAGTCTTAAAAGAACACTACGTCTTCAAGACACATACAGTCTACAAGACACAGTCAGCTTCAGACAACAAGTTTTCAAGCCACACTACAGTCTTCAAGACACACTGCCGTTTTACAAGAGCACTCGTCTTAATAACACACTACAGTCTTACAAAAAAACCTACAGTTTTACAAGACACACACAGTTTTACAAACCACACAGTCTTACAAGACACACTACAGTCTCAAGACACACTGCTTTACAAGACCCTACATCTTACAAACACACTTCAGTTTACAAGGCACACTGATTTACAAGACACAATAGTTTTACAAGACACACTTAGTCTCACAAGAACACTACAGTCTTACAAGACACACTACATCTTAAAAACCCCCTGCACCCTTAGAAGACACACTAATCTTACAAGACACACTGCAGCCTTACAAGATGCACACAGTCTTAAAAGACACTTACAGTCTTCAAAAAACACACAGCTTACAAGAACACTACAGCTTACAAGACACAGTTCAGTCTTACAACTCACACTGTAGTCTTACAAGTCCCTTAAGTTTTAAAAGACACACTCACACTGTAGCTTAAAAGACAAACTACAGTCTTACAAGACAACTACAGTCAACAAGACACACTACAGCCTTAAAGCACATTTCTGTCTTTAAACACACTAACCCTTAAAGAACACTACGTTTTACAAACACACTATGTCTTACAAGACACACTACAGCTTACAAGACCCCTTTCTGTCTTTATAGACACACTTATTTACAAGACACCAACTTTACAAGACACACTACTGTTTTACAAGAACACTACATCTTACAAGACACAGTACAGTCTTAAACACACTACAGTCTTACAAGCCCAACTACAGTCTTTCAAGACACCAACAGTCTTACAAGCACATTTCATTTTACAAACACAGTACAGTCTTACAAGACACCTACGTCTTACAAACCCACTACAGTTTCAAGACACACTACATATTAAAGCACACTACGTTTAATAGACACACTAAGTCTTACAAATAACTACAGTTTTACTGGACACACTACAGTTTACAAGAACACTACATTTTTACAAGACAACTACAGTCTTAAAAAGACACAATACAGTCTTACAAGACACACTACGTCTTACAAGACACACTACAGTCTTACAAAACACTACTGTCTTACAAGACACATACAGTCTTACAAGACACACTACAGTCTTACAAGCCCAACTGCAGCCTTACAAGACCACACATTTTAAATGACACATTACAGCTTACAAGCAACTACAGTCTTACAAGACACAATACAGTTTTCAAGACCCCACTCCGTCTTACAAGACTCAATAAAGTCTTACAAAAACAACTACAGTCTTACAAGACACCTACAGTCTTACAAGACACAGTACAGTCTTACAAGAACACTACATCTTACAACCCCACTACAGTCTTACAAGACACACTGCCCCTTTACAAGATGCACTACAGTCTTAATAACACATACAGTTTTTACAAGACAACTACATCTTACAAGACACACACATCTTACAAACACATTACAGTCTTGCAAGACACACACATCCCCCAACACCCCTACAGTCTTACAAACACATACATTCTAAAAACACAC